TTCTCTTTATATTGGAAGGGAAAAGCTGCCCTTGACCTTTCTTAATCAAAATCCAGTAATCTTTTGGGGAGGCATGAAACAGAATTGTCTCTGACAGCCAGTGAATCAAGACTGGTTTCCATGTGCTCAGGGCAAGGGTATTGTGGAATAGTGGTGCAAGTCACTGAGTGGGGCTGCTGTCCACCCAGAGATGTTCCCTTCTGCCTGCTGCTCACTTGAGGCATAATGGTTTTGAGAACAAGTGAGGCATAGCAGTAAAAACAGCTTTGCTTTTGCAAATGCTATGGGAGTGAGTTTTGATATGGAATAAGTTGAGTGAAATACAAAATCAGTGGACACAAAGGGAGAAGGCACGTTTTCTCAAACCAGCCAAAATGCTGCCTCTCCTGGAGAGCCTGAGCGTTGGGTTTTGTTAGGCCACTGCGGCCTCCACTGGAGAAGAGTTTAACAGGAGCAGTGAAATTAAAGTCCTCTTGTGAAGAGGGCTCTCTTTAGAGGGAAGAGGATGCAAGCCAAGTATCAGGAAACAAATGAGTTGCCAGTGCTGACCCTGTTTCTCAGGATGGCAGCAGAACAGCTGGAAGAACAGCATGCTGCTGCATCAGCAGGAATTGTTACTTGTGGTGCATGTATGGAGGGATTCCACTGGGACCCTGGAGTAGCCGTCATAAGCACTTGGCACAAAGCAGAGTCAATAAACAGGCCTCTGTTAAAAACCTAATGTACAGGAGTGATTAAGCAGTGGAATTAAAATTTTGGTCCCTAAACAGGCCTACATCACTCAGTTATAACTCATGACATTGTTCCTATTCCTAGCACATAGATTTACAACATCATAAAATCAAAGTTTTTACGGAAAGTAAAAAAATACACTTCTGTAAGAAGCAGAAGCAATAGGAATCTAAAACATGGAGATGGCTGTGTATTTGGGTGTTCTTTGTAACACTCGCTTGTTTACAGCACACTATTAGCAAAGGGAAGATTTGTGTCTAATTTCAGGCATGCTGTGCACACTGAAGTGTATGAAAGTGCTGCAGCTCCACGCTGTGCTGTGCAACAGATTGGAATCCCCCCTTTGGCCTCTGCTCTCTGCTTGCTGGGGGAAATAGGGTGTGTTTTGAGCTAATTGCTGTCTGTGTGAGTTGTAGATGGTTTTGTGTGGTGAGACAGGCAAAGGCAGCCAAGTGTCCCGGCTATTGGGAGGTGTTACCTGATTAATCACTGCTTTATGTTAATTATGTATGTGACTTGCTGCTGTGCTGTATTGGTCAAGTGAAGTCAACCTGCTGGAATGAGCATTCCACAGCATGAAGGATATAGACACAATGCTTCTGTTGGGGGGATGTTTCTTAATTCTCAATGCTCATGTGTATTTTCTCTTATAGGCAGCAATATCACCATGGGCAAATGGCCATAGCATCATGGTCAAGACTCAGCTTTGCAGGGCACTATGCTCAGCTTACTTTTCAGACCTCTAGGACAGAGGGACTCTCAGACTATATTTGGGAAGTGCCTGGTGGTTGCAGCTGAGATCTTTTGTTGAAAGTGGAATTTATTTATTTTTTTCTTTCCCCTCTAGTGGTTACTTAGCATTCAAATGTGAAAGACTACATAAAGAATGTCAATTACTCTTGGTAACTAGGTTTTCCTACACGTTACGGTTTTCTAGGCTTAGACCTTCTTGCTCTTCGCATCAGAAACTCCCAGGCAAGTGAAGATAATTGTCAAAGCTTTTTATGCTTCTGTGTTTGACTTCCTAGCTAATGAAAACCATATTCTGATCTGCATGGGTGGATCTTGACTCCACTGTTCTCTGCCTACATGTACAGATCTCCTTTTAAAGTCTGTGGGAATTCTGCTTAGGAAAGAAGTTAGACTACTAATGTCGAGATCAGCCATATGAAGCAGCAAAAAGAGCCTTTTGCCCTCTATCTTTGACATTTGGATAGGTGCCGAGTAGAACAACATTTTTATCCAGCAGTTTGTGATAGGCCCCAACTATAAAGTAGCTTTGAGTAACCAAGAAGAAATGGCAAAGTTTGTGATAATTCTGTAGGTGCAGCTGGGGACAGAACGGGGATAATAGGCTGAAGCAGCAGAAAGGGATGGAACAGTAAGGTGTAATGAATAGTGAAATTGGATATAAAGTTATGATCTGAAAGATTAGGATCCAGCAAGAAGATGGGACGAATAGAGATCTAAGGAGAACAAGACTGGAAAGGGAAATACTTTGTATCTCTGGTTTCAGGCAGTGCAGACATCTAGGGGTGCTCGGATCTTACTGCTTCTGCTCTTATTTATTTCTGTCTTAGATATAAAATCTGTATACTTTGTATGTGTTATGAATGACTTCACAAGTCCTTAGAATTTACCTCTGAAGCACTTTTGAAAATCTACCTCTGGACAGTGTGTTGTGATTTTTGTCCCAGCTATACTCCGTTTGTCATTATCCAGGTATTCAAAACCTTTTCTCTTTTGGTCTCAATGCCATAGTAAGATGAAAATCTTTAATTTCTGGTATGTTATTTACTTGTGTTGAGGCTTGATGGTTTGCTGCTTCCTATGTAACTGAAGAGCAGTTACCTGTAGCTTGCATACTCCTTGTCTGAACATGCTTTGTTGGCCAGACCTGTTACCTGTAGCTTGCATACTCCTTGTCTGAACATGCTTTGTTGGCCAGACCTCTGGGCTGGATTCCTCTTGGCCAGCCCATCGAAGCTGCTGGGTAAAGTGGCTGCAAATGAAGTCAGTGTCTGGTAGTGCTTCAGGGCTATGTTGGGCTGCAAGTGCAGCTGCAATTCTTATGGCCAAAGTCTTGCTGATGCATCTTCTGTAGAGATTATGGGAGTTGGCTGAGTATCATCTGACTGCAGCCTTTTTTTGTCAGGAAAATATTTATTTGATTAAATGGAAATGTGTTATGTAGAGAGATTGCTTTGGTTACAGTTATATTAAAAAGTTTTGCTTTGATAGGATCAGGGACTTTTGCTGCAAGTTTATTTCAATTTTTATTATATTGCGTAATTTTGACATAAAAGGGTGTTCTAACAAATGAGAATGCAATTACTTTGTGAAAATAATAAAGTCAAAACAAAAAATTTTGATGTCAAAAGGAAAGCGTTCACCTTTGTCAAAGGAATTGGCTCATTTCACAAGTGTCAATTCAGGTTTTTAAACCAGAATTTTTTGTAATTTTTGTTTGTGGGAAAAGTTAAAAATACCAGCAACAAGAAAGTGATGGAAAAATCCTGACCTGTGCACCTTCTTACGGTATTAAAAATGCTGATTTTAGTCTGACTCTGTAAATAATTATTTCTGTTAGCAGAGTGTTGAAGACTGGAGTTGGGTTTAGGCTGTTTGTGTTTGCAGTGCTTTAGACAGTGTGGTATCTGTGTCCCAACCCTTGGGCTAAAGGAGAGGCGGCCAGCCAGGAAAGATCACTTCCCTTTTGCAGGTAGAGGACTCCAGCCTGGAGAGTGGAAATCTTTATTCAAGGTCAGACAAGAATTGTGAACAGGCCCAGGTCTAAATGGACAGGGATTCCTTATCTGGTATTTCTAACCCAAGGCTGTTCTTGGTTTTCTGAAGCTTTTTGAACACGGTCTAGAGGTAACACAAAGTATTCTGAGTTGAGGAGACACTACAACAAATACCAGGTTCCCAACTGGAAAACACTAGTGATAATTCTTCTCTGACCAGGAGCTTTTTCTTCTCTTTACCCTCTTAGACCCCACTGTCACACTTGCTGTGCTGCCTGTCTGGCTCACCCCGATGCTGCTGTTGGAAGGACGCTCCTCCCTCTCCTCCTTCCTGGAAAGCCAGCGCACACAGCTGCTGCAGGCCAAAGAAATGCTGCCCCCAGCCAGAGAGCTGCAGTGAATTTAAGCAAGGCTTTTTCTCCCAACAAATTGCCTAATAAAAGGTCAAGTATTAATCACATGTCTGGAAAAAGTTTGGTTTGAGCTGTGTGTCTGCTATTCCAGCTTTGCAGAACAGAGCCTTTTCTGAAATATTTTCCTGGTAATAGAATTAGGTTATAATTCCTAGAAGACAAATCTTGGCAGGTATGAACTGTATGATATCTATCCTTGACTGAACCTGCAGCCTAGCCTAATACTTCCCATGTTTTCCTGTTTCCAAAGTGAGTTTGATCTTGTGCTGAAGGAAATGATTCTGTTTACTTGAGCCCTCTCAAATATTTCACAGCAAGAAGGATGTGATCCATTACTTAGGGAGCCCTCATTACATGCAGCTGTGGGATACTCATCTTCTTCCTTTATCTGCTCTGCTGGAAAACTTGGATACCTTGTTTTACTAAACAAAATCAAGGTCAGGGAAGTTAAAAACAAATAGATTGGTTTATTGAACTTGATCGTATAATCATTTTCTTGTTGCCAGTTTTAGCTTTTCTTTGCTGAAATGAGATTAGCACAGATTAAAGCTATTTTGGAGGTACAGTGTTCTAGACAGGGAAGCAGGGATGGCTTTGCTTTAAATGGATCTTAGTATTTTAAGAATTTGCAAACCCTCATTTCTTTTGAGGGTTATTCTGTCTGTAACTGTTCCTCTTGCCTGCAATTACTCTTTTCCAAGACAATACTTGGTGGAAACACCTCAAATATCTTGCATTTGTTCCATGTTGCTCTGTTAAAGCAATGTTTTTTTTCTGATGTAAACCCATGCAAATGAGATCAGACTTTTTCACCACCTTTGTAAGCAACAGTTCTTTTAATGTTCACTTTCTGAAAGAAGTAGGTGTTACCTTTATTTAGGTAGGTTCATTTACCTTCATTGAATACGGATAGGCTATAACCTAGTAAAGCACCAAGCCCTGCACTTCAGTATATTCCTTCAGAAGCACACTTGAGTGTGTTAGCTAAAGTATGTGTTTAAAATGCTTTGTTGGAACCAGTGCCAGAAAACTGGCACTTGCAACCCAGAGCTGGTGATACCAGAGAAGGCCAGTGGGCTGAAGAAGCCCACCTGAGTGGGTAACTGAGAATTAGCAAGATGTCATTTGTGATAGAGAAGGAATGTTTTGTTTCTCTATCTCAAGGTAAGTTGTTCACTTTTCAGTAATGTATTGGGTTTATGTGGCACGGTTCTGGTAGCACAGGATGAAACTTCTATCCTCATTAGGCTTCATAAGGCTTCCACATTTCTCTTGTCCCTTTCCCTTCTCTCTCTCTTGTATTTTAGTTTGAAACAGTAGCCAGGTCTGGATTTCTCAGAATTTCTTGCATCCTTGATTTCAGATCAGTAACATTTCACTTTCCTTGAGAGTCTTAAATGAGTCACAAGACATTAAACTAAAACTGAGGAAGTACAAAAGCATGATGTTCCTACATCAAGTCTTGCACACAAACCTCATGTAAACCTTCCATCTGCCTGCACTTTGCATTGCCTCTTCTTTGTGACCACAGCTGAAAGAGGCAAAATTCCTCCAGTTCTTCCCTTCTTTGTTAGGATTTTGGAGTAGTTCAGATGTTATCTCTGTATGTGGGAGCAGCTCTACCCTGTAATTCCAGAGCTCCTCGACTAGAGGTCAGCAACACATCAAAGAACATGAGAGAAAATTACAAGCTCTGGAATACTGGCTACCCCTAGACATTTTATTTTGCATTTGAAATGAAGATTCTTGATATGGTTAACCAGCAGCAGCTATAAGTCACAGAGATGTGTGACCAGAGTAGTGGAATGCTTCTGTTGTCTATTTTATGTATTAGAAGTATGTAGGAAGTAGTGCTTCCAAATTTTAAACGATAAGAAAAATTTTCACCCTTTCAGTATTATTTGTTCTTACATAGGAAGTTGCACATTTTCATGTGATATGTAGTTTAGAAAAAATCCCATTTCTAGAAATTTTTACTGCTAAATCTTTATATAAATTTTTCAGTTGCATTGGTGTTTTCTTCCCACAGTGCTAGCTAAAGTGCTTGGAAGAAAAGATCAGTGTGTGAAGGAGATGTGGTTATAATAGATTACTTTACAAAGAGGCTCACAGTCCTATTTTTCATGTCCTTACAACTTCACAGAGTACAGAACAGATCAGTCACTTTTTAATAAAGGGTTAAGTTTTGAGTACTTAAAGGTGAAATAGAGATTTCTGTTGTTGCTATTTCAATTTACTTTAAAATAACCCTTTTTGTTCCTGCAATAATTCCTTCTTTTTTTTTTTTTTTTTTATTTCCTGCTAAACTGTGCCTGCTCAGTGATAAGAGGAATTGGTCATCTGGACAATTTAAAAACAATTTATGAAGCAGCTCTTTCTCTTCCAGATGCATTTCTTTAAATGATGTCTTGAACTGGGCTGCTATTTTAGTAGCAAGTTGTTCAAATACATGCTCTGAATCATTCCTCCATAGAAGCAAGCACAAAGGATTCTGTTTGTATTCTTCGAGTGTCCCCTATCCCGAAAGTACTCACTTCCTTTATCATGACTAATGCTACTACTGAGTGGTTTTGCTGAGACATTTAGTTCAGCTGTGTTCATGACCATGATTAGTGCGTTTGTCTCCAGCTAGAATGCTGATTCTTATTTGAATGCTGCACTCCTAAGAGCTATGCTTTAACTCTTTATGAAGGAGAAATTGCTGTTTCACAGCATTCTTGCCTCAGCTAAGTTGATTTTTATCTCCTGCATAAAGAAAACAAGCCCAAGGCATTTCTATAGTTGTCTTAACACGAGTCTTGTTTACTCCCCACACACCACTTTTACTAACTCTGGCATAAATCACCGTGTAGCTTGCATGTGTAAGAGTGGAAACAGACTTAGTGTTTCTAAAATGTAAAATATTAGCAGCAATTACAGTGAATGCTGTAATTCTAATATCAAGATAAGATATGCAAGCTTTTCTCCCTGTAATAGCAAGGAAGAAAGACAGGCCTGCCGTTGGTCCAGACACCAAAGACTCCACCAACCTCAGTGCACTTATTTGTTTTTCTTTTTATTTTTCCCCTCTTTAAATTCAGAAGAAACATAAGAAAGAATAAACCAAAGTCTCTGAGGTATGTGTGTTCTCAGTGCAAGTTGGTTAGTATCTGTCCTGACAAGTTCGTAGGAAACATGTATGGGGGGAATATAAAGTCAAGTAACTCTCAATGTATTTTGAACTAAAAACTTAAAGATCTAAAACTGGGCCAGTGGGGTTCCTGTTGTGACCTGCAAACACAGGAGATCTCTTGTATTTGAGTGGCAGAATGCATTAAAGTGTCTGGTTTTTAGAAATTATTATGCCTTGGAAGTGTTATGGCCAGGACAATGGAGATGAGTTTGAGAGCTGCTGTTCAGTTTTGTAATGATATTATTAGCAATAGTTACATTTGGAACTGGGATCAGGCTGAAAAGTAGTGTCCTTTTCTTTGGTTCTCTTTTCCAGGCAGTCTTCAGGCTGCACAGCAGCTCAACTCTTGTGGCTGGCTTGCACTGCACGATTACTACCTTGTGATTAGTAACCCTGGCCTATTTGGTGTGATACCAGCACCTCCCTCTTTAGCACCAGCAGGGCAAAAAGATCTTCATAGGCATCAGTCACTGATTGGAGAATGAACAGTGTATATGTAACTGCTTTCAAAAGCCCAGTGCAGTCATCTCTTAGGGTCTGGCATCTCTATTTCTTGAGCTTGTACATTGGCAAAGCACTCCACTCCAGTCTGCCAGCTCCAGAAGTGAATGGTGACAGGCCATCATCATCTGTTATCCCCTGTCATTCAATCAGATTTAACATGGAAAACCAAGCTTGTGGGGTAATAATGAGGGTTTTCATGCACTTGATCATTGAATGAATAGTGGAAACTAAATGTAATGAGAACTCAGGGTTTTTTTTTAACCTCTTTCATAAAGTAAATCAAGTTCTCTGCTGGTGTGACTGTGTGAAAGCCACTGGGATTAGTAGATTTGCATTGTTTCACTCAAATGGCAAAGGTAGATTTCTAGTTTAAGTGGTGCTGTGTGAGGCTTTTACTAGAAAATGTTCAGTGTTAACATATCTCCCATTCTCAGTGCTAGACACCACAGCACAAAGCCTTCCCCCTGCTGTGGCTGAGCTGACTGCCAAGTGCAGAGGTGGTCCCACCGTCCTGCTGTGTTCACAGCTGGGGCTGGCTCTGCACTTGCCTTTCTGTTGGTGCATGTCTCATTCCCTGGGAGCTGGTTCAGCTTGGTATCCCCAAAAAACTGCTTGGGTATTTTGTTGTGTGTTTTTTTTTGTTTGTTTGTTTTGGGGTGTTTTTTTTTTTTTTTTGGTGATTTTTTTTTTTTTTTTTTTTCCTCCTGTTGATTTAGGTCACCAAGAAGTTAGAGTGCCAGAGCAGGAAGGAGCATGTGACCTAAGTCACAGCTCCTTTAGCACCTATGTGAAGACAGCAGATGAAAGCAATGCAATTACCATTCCCTTTCCTAGCAATGTATCTGAAACTTACACAGGGCTTTGGAATGAGTGTGGTAGTTGTATGGAGGTAGTCATGCAATTAGAGGATGTGCATTAGGGTGTTGTTGCAAGGGGTGAAGGTGTTAGTCTGGCCTGATTCCAGAAGGTGATGAGCACCAGATGGGAACTGAATGTAATGAGCTCATATCATGAACAGCAGTTTAAGGAGTAATAAACGGGGGGGGGGGGGGGGGGGGGGGGATGGATTTGATACTATCACTTTCCACATTGGGCAATCTCAAGATCCTAACATGGTGATTTTTGTTGTCAGATACAAAAGACTATTTAAACACTGCTACTTAAGCATCGTGCTGGTGATTTGAACAACTGAAAGCACATTAGTAATATTCACTTTGGGATATTGCTTTATTCTGTGTTCTGAATTTTTTGTACCGTGTAGATTTTACCATTATGGATCTATAGTCTAATCAGAAAATGGTAAAGCTGTACAATATTAGTAAGCAGCTAAACCATTGTTTTAGGGTGAATGGGCGGCTCCAGCTCTGGGTAAAATCTGTAGGCATGTTGACCTCAGAAGGTTGGAACTTAGCAGATTCCTTCTTTTCCCTGAAACTCTCCAATCTGCTGATACATTTACTGTCCTGGACTATCAAAAAAGGTCTTTTAGCTACGTGTCAGTATGCTTGCACAAGAAGCACAGCTTTAGTCTTATTATTGCCTCATCTCCAGAGTTATCTTTGTTATTGTTTATAGCTTGTGAAAATGGACTTATTGCCAATGAGAAAGCAAAGAGTGGAAACTCTGTGACAATTTTCACACGTCTGGTATCATTATCAGTATTTCATATTATTAATAATAAATAGCAGTTTTATAGAAATAATTTCATTTTACAGGCAATGCTAGAACAGCTAATTTGTAATTTTCTAGTTTTTCCTACAGGCAATTTTGTGCTATGGCATATTGACTTCAATAGGGAATTCTGCTTAAAGCCTGATGGCACAACAGAGAGCCCTATTTCCATGAAGGCAGGTGTAGGCATTTGTGTTTCCACTGCCAGTCTCTCGGTACCACTTTGGAGGAAGAAATCAGTGGGCTTTCCAGGTGAACCTTTCCTGCATGTGAAACGTGAACTTGCTAGGAGCAATTACACTGATCTGTGGTGTGAGATGGTTGGAAAGTTACCTGTCCTCTGTGTAAGAACTGTTTTAATCTCTTCAGAATCCCTTGGGGTTTTGCTGTTAGGAACAGGATCACAATTCAGATGAACATTACTGAAATTTCAGAGATGCCTCAAAGCTTTATCCAAGAAAGAACCCCCATCATGCTGGTACTGTGCAAGTACAAAGACCTCTTTTTAGGTTTCCTGATGTGTGCTGGAAGACATCCCTAACCCCATCAGTGGTTGTGCTTTGGTGGGACTTGTTGTTGGGTGGGGGTTACTCCCTCCTATCTGAAGGATATCCTGATTCATCGAAGTGATAGTCCCAGTCCCAAAGAACAGCTGGGGACACTGAGAATGGTTGATTACACTGAGCAGAGCCCTCCAGTTCCTGTGAGCTGAGCTGCTGTCTAGCAGGTGAATTGGAAAGCTTGAAAGCCTTAAGTGTATGGAACAGTCATTACCTTCCCCTAACAAGAACCTGACTGGCAAATTTGGTTTAATACTTCTAACTAATGGCAAAACCACTGCAACCTACTGACTAGTTCTCAGACACAAACCAGATACCAGGGTTCCAGAATACAGAGTCTTAACCCCCATGGCTATTGGCCCATTTTTTCACTCTTTCAAATAACTTTGCCTCTCGTAAATCTGTTGCTCATTTAAAGCAAACTTTCTGCTTGCATCAGAAATTACTTCCAGCACTGGTTATGAAGCTTTCTGCAATATGTTATAAAATGAGGGCTGGGTTTGCTGCTTAAATAAAGAAAGCCAGTTTGCTTCAAACGGATCATTTATTGCTACCTTCATACTGTATATTTATTGTGAGGATATTGTCACATTTCTTTCAGTTTTGAAAATGTAAGTTGGATTTTCTCTTTCAGGTTGCCATCTGGTGTATTGCGAACAGTCTCAGAGAGTAAGAGGCCATCTGTTAATACTTTTTCAGGAAGCTTTTTATAGAGCAGTGAAGTGGCAAATCTCAAAAACACGTTGTAATGACTTACAAGATCTTGGGTATGTGTACAAGTAAAGGCTGGTATTTTATTCCTATCAACAATATAGTTATCAAGCTGGGAAGGAAAGGAAGAGAAGAAAGAGAACTTGCACACAAATGCACATGCATTTTAATGTCTCTTGCATATATTACTTTTTCTATTTTTACATGAAATGTAAAGTGAGTTTCTGCAGCTCTGATTCAGTTTATGCTCATGTACTTTAGCAGGACTAATTGCCTCTTTGAGAAACTGTTTCCTTCTTTAGCCAGTAATAGAAATCAAGTGACCCAGGATTTTGCCTAATAATACTAAAAATGTAGCTTATGTTACTGTAGCATGTGATTTTTACACCTCCAATGGCTGCTATATCTAAGATGCTGATGGGTCTGCTGCAAGATGGCTGCCACGTGGGAAGGCCTTCAGTTCAGAACTTCTGCTTTTAGTGCCAACAACCTCAAGTTCAATATCTGCTGTGTTCCTATGCAGAAGGTTAGTTACAGATTCAGCTCCACAAGCACAGATTTTTCAGCCCAAATTTGATATGCTCACTTGGTCATTGAAAGTAGCAGTAAGAGGACATGACTTACAGAAGTGTTGCCTCATCAACCACTGAAGTATTCTGATTGTTGTGGAACAAAAAAGACTGGGAAGGAGCTAGATATGAGAATTGCCAATTAAATGCCTGCAATGAAGCTTGCTGCAGGAGTAGCATTAACACTGGTCTCTCTGTGTGTCTGACAGAGGATGCCTCTGGTTTTTGTGCCCAGGGCTGTGTTGTGCAATGAAAGGAAACAAGTAAATCCTTTTAAGGTGCTGTGGTAATGCTCATAGCTTAAAAAATAAAATAGTGCTGATGGTTGGTGCTATCATTTTATATTTAGACAAATTGAAGACCTGGGGAAGAGAAAAGGTGACCTTTGCAAGGTTGTCCATGAGGTCTCTGGTACAACTAGGAGTAGTTACTGGGTTTCTTGAAGGTCTCTCTGTGGGCTATATATGCTGCTGAGCCATTTTTTCCCCACTTGCATTGACTTTCTCATGATTTTATGGTACAGCAGAAGCAATTAGAGCCACATCGTGTGCCTGCTGTGTGCAGTGCTGAGGTTTGTCTCAACTCTTCCGGCCTCTATGAGAGAAGACCTGAGAAAATACTTGCATCTTTCAAGACCAGGCTCTTTGAAAGCACTCGGAGAAGCATCAGGTTACTGATTCCTTTGTAAGCCTGATGTGCTGAGGAAGGAAAGCAAGTGCTGATTATCTGGGCAGGTGACTAGTTTTGCTGCTACAGAAAGATGTGATCAGCTGTTTTGTTCAGTGCTCATATAAATCCTTGGTGAATGGTGTCTTCCACTTCTGCCTGTACATTATCTGAAATGACCCAGTCAAGCACATTTTTCTGTATTTTAATGCTATATTAATTCTTTGTGTTCTGCACTGAGAAGATTCCTTGGTGATGTTCTTGGGCAACCCTCCACAGAATCAGTCCTGCTTCAATGAATAGTAATATAAAATCTTTTTCCCTTCAGTGACTCCAAATTTGATAGCAGGACATCAAAAACATCATTCAGGTATCACTGGTAATAAATGTCAGTGCTGCTGCATGTCAAGGTCATGTAAACCTGTAGTAAGGACTGTTCAGACTGGCATTGTGCTTAAACATTATCATCTTTTAAATGAAACTAGGCAGCTTTAAAAGCAAAGGTAGCATGAATATTGCCATAAAATTAAGCCCACTGGCCAGCATTGAGAGAATCTAAAGCCTGTATGTTGGATGAGTTTTAAAAGCAATGCAGGTTGGTTTTTCAGTGCTAACAGTCCCTAGAAATGGAGAAATAAGTGAGCCCAGCTGTGCTCAGTATGATGTGAGTCAGCTTTGCATAATGGTATCTAGCACTGGTCAGAGCATTTTCTAAAAGTCTTGTTTACAAAAATACTTACTTCTGAATTCTGTTTTAGAGCTATTCTCTTTTATTGAATGAAAAAAAAAATAATCTTGTTCCTATGTTTTTCATGTAAAAGGAAGGTAAAGAATGAATGAAAGAAATTGGTGAGAGGCTGTTTTGTTGTCCAAAAAAGTACAAAATCAGCTACAGTTCTTAGTTATAAAGTATGTTTCCTCTCCCCCACCTAATACCCATGCTATATTGCTGAATGGTCATTACTTAACCAAAAGCAACAGGCAAACAGTCATAATTTTATTACTGCATGATTTGAGAATGCTATTAGAAAGACCTACTATTGACTTGAATGCAACAAAGAGTTGGCAGGGATTAGTTCTGTTGTCTCTATTCTTTCATCTCAAAACAAGCCTAGGGAGTCTGGCCTGGCAGCCGCTCTGGGCTCCAGCATCTATCTTTGCTAAACATATGAGATTGTTGAGAGATCTCCTGTGATGTCAGAAAGTTAAGTGCTGGTATGAAGATGTTCATTGTGTCCTTCATCCCTTCCTTGTCTATTAAGCCAGGTCAGCATGGAGGTAAAAAAAGCTCACAGCTGAAAACAATTCCTCAGAGGTGGAGGCTCATAGAAGTCCCCTGAATATTACCTGCCAATAGCTCAGCACTGGGAATTATAGCTTATTGGGCTGCTATAGGGCAGGTTACTACATACTGCAGATGTGCTTTTGAATTAATGGTGCATCATACTGAATTTTCAAGTGCCCTAGCATATGGGGTGCTACTTTTTGCCATCAGAATTGAGATGTTACCAAAACATCTGTGAGCTACACCCAAATTGTACTAGTGTAACCTGGAGCTCAGGCCTCTCAAAGTATCAGGAGCACAAATTCCCTTTGTTGTGGTTTGTCTTGTGTTGTCTATTAGCTGGTATTGTGTGGATTTACGGGAGTAATAAAATATGAAAGATTGAATCTAGTCCTATTTAGGGTTAAGAGTTTGTAAATCCACTGTGCGTGCAGAGACTAGGAATAATTTAAACACTGCTCACATTCCAGCCTCCGCAGCAGGGATGGGTACTTTGTTTTGAGGACTTTTTTTTTTCCTTATCTCAACTGCTGTACCATTTGGCTATCTGAAGCTTTTGCATGCCTCACAAACACCATCTGTTACAACCCAAGACACAAATACTGCAAGTGATTAGTAATACAAGCCAATGTTGCAGCTGTATATGGTGTAGAAACCTGATAGAACCAGAACTTCCTTTTTAATTCTGACATACTGAATAGTGCATTTGTGGTTTGTCTAAGCTTTTGCATTTATCAGTTAAAGATTAACTTTCTGCTGCTATGGAGGCATGTTAGATTAAAAAGAAAACAACCCAAACAACAGCCCCCCAAAAAACCCTGCCAAGGATTCTTTGCAGGAAAAGTCATTGGAGCAAGTAAAACACCTAGGACAGAGGGAATGCCTATCAGGGAAATGTTTCCAGCTACCACGGCCTAGTACTTTATTAGATGAATCTTTCCTGGGTTGAAATTGTCTGTGTATTCTTACCAGTGCTCTTCTTAAAGTCATAAAACACTGAAAATATACATGTAGCAGGGACCATTCAGCTGTACTAACCATGGGCAGATTGCAATAAAGACCAATATATTCCTCCTGTTATTCAATATGTGTTCACAGCATAGACTAATTCTCCTTGAGTTCCAGTACTGTTTTTTTCTCTTTGTCTTCCCTCATCAGCCTTGATTGCAGTAATGGATGAAGAACTGCTTGTGCTGGAGGATACCAAATTACAGAGGAATGCCATGTGTACTCCCGGATGTACATGACAGATGAACAGGAAAGGAGACGAAAGCTTACATTTGACTGCTTGCAGGATAATTGTGTTAGTGCATAATAATCCAGGACATGGTTCAATCACAGAGGCTGAAATTCTGAGGGTCCCTTTTTAGTGTTGAATGAAAGAAACTGTTCAATTCAAGAACCGTAACAATTCAGTTACTGCTAATCTTCCTCCTTAAGCTGTGCATGACACTTTACTATCTTTAATTTTTTTAACATCATTAGTTAGGTGAATAGCAAACATGAGGAAAAAGTGTGAATCACCTTCCTAGTTCTCCTCTCAATAAAAATCTCTACAAAAATCTTTCACAAACCACTTAGATACTCATCACGTTCTCATGTTTTCATGCCACATTGTACTTGTTTGGAAAACAAGAAGGAGTTTTAATTCTAAAAAAATTCCTCTCTTGGTGTTATAGATTAATAGGTCAAATTTGGAAGAAAGTAGGTGTATGATTTTTTGCTTAAGCCCTGGGGGGGAGGGGGCGGTATTAAATATCTTTTTGTCCGTGGAGACAAAGCAAGAAGTGGTGTCCTCAAATTGAAGAAAAAAGTTCAAGATAGATAGGAATGAATACAAGCAAAAGATGGAGAGAGACTGTCAGGGAAGTTGTGATGTCTGCATCACTAGAGATCTTTAAAAGCAGATGCCATATTTACAGTTGATTTTGCCATCTATAGAAGAGTGAACTAAATGGTCTTCTGGGGTGTCTTCCAGTACTATGATTTTGTAAGCTTGGTGACCTAGGAGGTCTTTTCCAGTTGTACGTAAGAAACGTTCTCCTTTCATGGGGTGCAGGATGCCCAGACTTGATGCGGTGGTTGGCCTGTGGCAATGTAAACCCACCTTTCCTTCCTCTTGAGTTAGTATTAAACACTAGTCCACCAAGTGTGCTGTGGCCTTTTGGGCATTTGAAATTAACCAACCACCCAGGACTCATCATGCCAGAGGAAGGCAATGAGACTTTCCAGCCTTGTGAGCAGGGCATGTCCTTGGAAAAGGTAAGGTGCTGTCTTGCTGCAGGAACTACTGAGGCCAGTTCAGTGGCTTGCCTTTTATTATGGGCTGGATTGCAATGGAGGGAGCTGGCATTTTCTTAATATAAAGCTCCTTCTGGTGGCTTGATAACTCATATTTAAATAACTGCAGCATATTCCCAGCACTCAGCAAGCACATGGTTGTGCCCTGCTAGCTGCCCTTTACTGTGTATTATAAAGTGTAAGACAGCAGGATTGTGAGTGGCTGTGATTTAAATGACTAAATTTACTCTAGATTAAATGTTTGCCTTTCATGTTTGATTTCTCATTAACTGAGTCAAGTACACAGTCTTATTCTTGTTTATAAACTTGCAGCTTTCTTTTTTAAAGCCTAATAATAAGTTCTCCCCTCTGGTTGTTTAATGTATCACTTGTGATTCCGTTTTGACAAATCTCTCAGCAGTTCAGAAAACTCTTTGTTACAAGGAAATAAATATCCTGCTGACTCAATGGGGAAGAAATGCTTTTTGTCCTTTGAAAAATGTTGCAGCCCTGTAGATTGGTCAGTGTTACTTATCTGAATAGTGCTATTGTAGAGAGGAAAAGGGTACTTTATTGGGCCAAAGAGCATTCAAGGGTACTGAAGTATGTAGGGCAAGGTTATCAAGGCTTTACTTTGGTAATGTCTATTTCTGCTTTGAAAGAGCATCTTACATGTGATATTTGTCTTTGTTAAATGCCTTGCCTTTACTATTGCACTAGCTTTTCTTTTTTAATTACAAAATGCTGACAAGATGTTTTGCAGTGACATATTATAACTACATTAACCAGGTGCATTAGGATCTGTGGGTATGGCAGTTGATGCTTTCTCTTTGTCACTTGTATAATGAACCTTCTGCCTGCACAGAATAAGATATTTATCTGGAATGCAGGCTAAAGTAAATGTTGGAGACTGGAGGAGTTAAAAGCAGGATGCCTGCAGTGAATAATTGTTATAATCTCATTGTCCTTTGCAAAATTGTTAATTAATGCGTTTACTAAGCAGACTGTGTTTGCAGGAGTCCCACAGAAGTCAAGTTGTACTCCTGTGCATCTGTTAGCTTGCTGTGTTTTTAGCATACTTAATGCATGGTTCCCGAAGTTTCCTCTTCAGAGAGACTGTATGTTAGGGGGGATGTCTTGTAATGCTCTTCCCCTTCTCTCCCCTGCATTTCTTTCTTTGAAATAAGAAACAAAACACCTGAAGGAGGCTGGTAAACTAGTGCATAGAGCTTGAGGATCCTCCATCATCAATATGATGCCTGCTAGGGATGTGGGGCTGTTAGTTTATTTGCCGGTGTTCTCTGGAGTTTTCTCTGCAAGAAGCAAATGGTATCAATTGTGTGTACTTTGCCTACTCTAGTTCCAAGTTCTTTTTGTTATTTAGTATTTATATTTCTATATCAACCAGAAGATCCTCTTTGGGATTTTGACCATTCCTGGTAAGCAGCAGTGTAAATAGTGTAAGGAAACAATATTTCAGGTGAAGAGATCCAGGCAAAAAATTATCTATTGTTGTCAGTTTCTTTGTAGACATTAATGGAAAGAAGATTTTTTTGAAAAACAGAATGAATTAATTTTTAGGTTGTTTCCTGTGTGAGAGGAAATATGGGGAGAAGAAAAGAAAGTAGGAAAGTCCTTATTTTTAAAAGTAGCAAATAGAGAGGTTTGGTGATTGGAGGCAAGAACTGACATCTTGGGAGCAGATGAGAGGAAACAGGATGTGTCAGTAAATCATGAACAGCCTCAAAACTCAAGGCAAGCAATCCATAAATAATAGAGAACAGAGAGTCCAAGGAGGAAGGGGGAAAGCAGCAACACATGAGCTAATAAAAAGGTATTTGCAACATGGTTTGGTCAGGAATGGTACGGGGGGAAGATTGCATTAGGAAAGCCAGAGAGAACATGATGTGACAGCAGGATTGACCAGTTCCTGCGTAAAAAAATGTGTGTGTGAGAGGATATGACACACATGACACAGGACAAGGGATGGGGGAACACCATTATTCAGACAAAATCAGCAAAATGGAGATGTGAAGACCGAAGCAGGGATGGATAGACTTCTTTTCAAGAAGAGAGCAGTGTCAGTGTGGGGACTTTCTGAGCAGGGAGACACTGAATATGGTAATGTTGGGTGTACAAAGACACAGAGGAAATAGGATGAGAATAATTCCTGGAGAACTAAAGGAGCAGAAGCAAAATAATTTCTGTGTCTGATGGGAAAGGAGGAGGGAAAATGCAGGGGGATGAGTAAGATGTGCAAATGCCTAACAGTCTTGTGTCCTTTTTTTGTTCTTTTTCTTGGTAGAAAGTTAGCAAAAGCTTGAATGGATAAAGAATAGGAGGCAGAATGAATTATGGAGGTGGATTTATTTTTATCAGAAAAGCTAGGGGAATGCCAGAGAAACTGATGGGGGAAGTAATTCTGGCCTCCACATTCTGCTGGAGCTGCTTTCTCCTGAGCTGAAGTGGTGGTGTGGTATAAATGGAGATGATCTGGGATGGAAGCTTGGAAAATGAGGCCTCGTGAAGTGTGAAAAGGTAAGAAAGACCTTATTAATGGAAGAGAGAAAGGAAAGCAGTGAGGAGGGGGATGAAAGCAAACAGAAGTTTTTGCTGTGTACTAAGCACCCGATGCAACTGAGTTGTGGAAAAGCTGACAGACATGAAGTGGAATGAGCTGGAAAAAGCAGACTGTGCTAATAGAGGCAGTTGTAGAACAAGGGCTCTGCAGCCTCAGTCAAAGCAGACCTGCAGATGTGAGACCAAGGAGATGGGCATCCATGGGTGCAGGCGTCTCATCCGCACAGAAGTTGCCATCACTGAGAGTTCAACTTAAGAAAAGAGAGAGTCAAGGTTCGTGACAAGCTGGATCTGTGGTAGACAGTAGCAATACTGAGTGGGTGAGAAGACAGGACTCTGTTTACTGGAATAAAGTATCTCTGTTTAATTAGGTCAGTTATTTTAAGTTAGAACACATTATTTCATAATGTTTGGCAGTATCTGTAAAAATAGGATTAAAAAAAAAATCAACAAATACATATAATTGAAAACCAGCTCCCAGTTACTGCCTTAGCTGATTTGTATTTATTTGGTGAATATGCTGGGGTAAACCAGGAATCACACTGCTGAGTGGAGAAATTCTGGAAGAGTGAAGGGTGATCACAGCAGCCCGTCCAGTGGGGTCTGCCCAGAACCCAGCCCAACCTCTGCTTGCTACTGGGTTCAACCAGGACCAGCCACCAGCACTGTGCACTCTGACACTTAGTGCTTCCCAGCCTCCCACAGTTTGGATTTTCAGAGTCAGTCATTTCTTTTTCCATTCCTAATTCTTCCTGTCTGTCTGTGGGCTAATCACTGCTCAGAGGGGAAGCCGTGCCTCTGCCAGAAGAGGTTGCTGCTGTTCTCTTCACCTCCTCCACTTTTCAAGCTAGCTCACCTGTCATTTCAGGCATTTAGCTGAAAGCAGTGGGAATTGTGAAACTTTAATGTTTCCCAGACTGTAGTCTGCCACATTAACAAATCTTTCACTTTTCAGAAGATGATAGTGTCAATCATGGTGACAGGCTGAAAGACACCGTTCATTGTTAATTAATTATTAGCTGTCAACTAGAAGACTTTGTTGAACTAAGAATGTTCAGGCAGATTGTGGATTTCCTCTTTTTTAAACTTTATGTTTAAAGGACACTAAATACCCTTAATTATCAAAGTAAGTTGAAATCCTTTCATACCTCTTTCTTCTGCAGGTGACTGCTTCAGGTACAATATTAATTATAAATAAAATGAAGATTCTGTAGCTCCTTATTGCTGATTTATGTTTTCATAATGGATGAACTAAAAAGGAAGACATTTCCTTTCTTTGCTTTGGTAACAGCCTGTTATTCCTAGTCTGCCTCCAAGTTCTGTTGGAGGGAGGAAACAAACAAAGGAAAAGAAAGTTATGTTCCTGGAGAAGGCCTGAGGTCCATATAACCTGAAATGGGGACCAGGACTTTGTGTCTGACTCCACTACGTAAGTCACTGGATTTGAGTTGTTGGAATATTTCAGTTTCACTATTTATGTCTGTAAGACTTTGACCAGGAAAGTGAGGGTAGCTTTCTCACTGGGGTTCATTCGGGTGGAAATGAATTTGTATGGCTTTTCCTGAGTAATGATCTGATTTCCCAGCAGTTCTGGGCATGCCCAGCCATCCCTGTAGAGCTTTCTGATACGAGAGCCTTACAGTCAAATGTGAAGATGCCCATATGGACACTTAAGGTTGAGGGGCAATGAGGAGTCTTCAGTCCAGGAAGGCACTTGTGTACTTAAGTTGTTG